ATGGCAACGCCCACGACAACTTCAATAAGGTGAATAGGGCTTTTCCAGTAATTAATACCTGCCTTTTTTTCTTTTTTTACACCTAATTACAAGTCCCTAAGGCTCATTGTAAATGTAATGTGCTTCAGGTTTGACATGGGAATTTTTAGAACTCAACTAATGTTCAATCTACTATCAATCACGCAATAGTACATTGAGCATTTACAATTACAAAAAAAAATAAAATAAAATAAAAATATACTCACAGAGGAGATCAGAATCAGCTTCACACAGAGCCCAACAATTAGTTTGTGCATCAGTATGATATGGGGCTCATTTAAGTCAGCTGTTTTAGGGAAAAAGGACAGCTTTCTAAGGGGTTAAAATGTAATGCAATAGAAATGTAAACTTATTTCAAAAGATAGGGCAATGTGTGACAAAATAGTAAACTTAAAAACAGACTGAATTATGTAAAATGTCTGTATTTTACTTGGTGGCAGGGTGGCTCAATGGCCAGCCTCACAGCAAGAAGGTTCTGTGAAGTTTGCATGTTCCATTCTGTGTGTGGGTGGTTTCCTCTGAGCACTTTGGTTTCCCCATCAACCTTAAACTTGTACAAAAGGTAAAATCTAAGGTAAGCTAAGCTAAGGGAGTCCTGGCCAAGACTGGCTCAACATCCAGAGATAAGTCCCTGGCTGCTGTACAGTGGTAGCCCTCTGCTCCTGAGTGCTCAACATAAGGAAAAATCCTATCTATGGCAATGATGTTTAGACATCCACAGCCCCGTTTCACTACAAACCTGTAAGACCCGGTGTCCTCCTTCTTCACTCTCGAGTGTTCAGATAAAGCTTTATGTGTTTTAGTTAATCAGGAGGTCATCTTAAACTAAACATGGGACCAAGGTGGAGGTTGAAGGCTGATCGCTCATACAAAACAAGTCAGATATTTGTCATGTGTCTGTGGGCACGTGTGAGCGTGAGAGAGACAGAGACTCATCTATAGCTACACCGGTCTAGCTGGATTGTTTCTATTTACATTACCAAGAATTATCTTCAGTAGCAAGTAGTGCACTGCTGAGTGGACCACACCTCTGCCATACATAATGCTGTTCATTCATTCTTACTTTAGGCTTTTCTGTTTGGATCATACATTTAACAGAAGTGGTTCGTGCAGCCATAGTGATATATAAACATGATCCAATCAAATAAAACTTGAACTGACAACAACTGTAATGCTGATTTATTCTTAATTATAGCATAGGAGATGGTGAATAAGTTGTTTATATTACCTCACACATCACACATCACACACCTCACACACCTCACACACTCTGTCCACAAGAGCACGACACACACCACCTCACACTCTGTCACACACCCCTCCTGTCCACCTCACACACTCTGTCCACAAGAGCACGCACGACACACACCCCTCCTGTCACACACCTGTCACACACACTCTGTCCACAAGAGCACGACACACACACACCCCTCCTGTCCACCTCACACACTCTGTCCACACAAGAGCACAACACACACACACCCCTCCTGTCCACCTCACACACTCTGTCCACAAGAGCACAACAACACACACCTCTCCTGTCCACCTCACACACACACGCAAGAGCACGACATACACCTCTCCTGTCCACCTCACACACTGCCTGGCCCATTGCCAGCTCGTGCCTCAGTCTTAGGGAACAGTAGCCCAAAGACAGGAGAGAGTGAGTGGCAGTAGAAGACATCTTGGTTAGATCATCTAACTTAGATCTGAGTATCCAAGTACAGAAATGTGTTCTAGACAAAGGAAATGTGGCAACAAGCTATCTGATTGATAAAGTTATAGTATCTTGTAATTATGACAAAATTATCTTGTAATTATGAAAAACCTAAAATATTTTCATGAATGCAATCCCCTTCTTTACTTACACACGATGCACTTTGTTATATTTCTCAGTCGCAATGCACAGTGCATTGTTACACTTAGACGTTTTTACAGTATTGTTAGGCTATTCTTTGTTTTACGTCGCACTGTACAACCACCAGTCAAAAGTGTGGACATGAAACACCTTCTCATTCAATGTTTTATTTATTTATTTACTACTTTCTACATTTTATATGAATACAGAACACAACAAATACATGATGCAAGATATATGGTATTATGTAACAAAGAAAAATAACTCAACATAGTATTATTTATATTTTATATTTAAATTCTACAGTTTCCAGCCTTTGCTTTGTTTACAGTGAAGTGTCTCAGATATTCAAGAGACTTTATTTCACAAGACATTTTACAGTTTACTTTAGCACATGCAGAGAAAAGCTTTTATTAAGAAGTTTACATGTTTTACAAAAGTGTCAGACCACCTTCAATCAGTTCTATATACACAAGTCAAAACACACTGTTGTGCCCCACCAAAGGCCCAAAGTGATGAGGAGATGGCTCCAGTTCCACATGGACAGGTGACTCTTGTGTCTTAATGTCCTGAAAAAGACATGGTGACATTCAACAGGATGACACATAATGTTTGTAACATTTAGACTTAGCACATTTCACACCACAGCACATGTGACAGGTTTTCTTAGTTTTTTTACCAATTAGTTACCAATTTTGTGTTGTACTAGTACATGTACTATCCCACCAGACACAGTAGATGATAAGCAAAATGTAACTAAGTAAAATCGGAACATAATTAGACACGGTGCATTGATGAAGTCATTGTGTGTGTCTGACACAGTGACAGTTTCAAAGTGAAACTTGGGTCTTAAAACCAGCGGCTTCAGTTTCCCCAGAGGTGTGATGTAACCTCCACACTGCAGCGTCCACAAGACATAACACACTCTCAAAGCTTTTGGTTTGGACTAAGATTCTCTGTTCACACAATCAAGTTCAACTGGTGCCTGCTGTGAAGAACACGGCATGCTGGGTAATAAAATTGTGTAGAATCAAGCACATGTACCAAACAAGATTCAAACTCCAGTCCTCAGAGCTCAAGTCCAGTGTCTTAGCAGCTGCCGTGTGCACAGGGAGAACGCCTTTGACGTAGAAATAAAGCAGCAGATTACCTGCTGACCTGCACAGTTTGGTGACATGTGCTCGTACAAACAGGTGAACCAGTGTCAGCCGTGACTGAGGCAAACTCTGTATTAAGTCTGAGGTGTTAAGGAGAAACAGTGAAAAGGTTAAACAGAAGGAAAGTGTTTTGAAGTGTTAATACTGATGATGAAAGATTTGAGAAGGTTTTAGGTTAAAACAGCTTCATGCAGAAGTGTAAGTAAGAGGCACATTGGCTTCATCTTGTGGTTAAATGTACAAACTGCAGAAGAGCCAAGAAAGGTTTCCAATAGAGAGAGACATTCACAAATCAGTCACAATATTCAATTTAAATTCATACTTGAAAAACTATGAGAACACATGAGAAAAATGGATCATCATAGTAGTAGGTGTTGAAAAATGTCCTTTTTTTTGTGCCCCCCTATTTTCCTGAGTTACATTAAAAGTGGAGTATGTAGCTTGAACTGTTGGTGGTACAAAGTCACAATAATCCAAACTGTTTCTGTTGTGAGGAGCTCATTCTGCTTTCTGATTGGAACATCATCTTGAACCAGAACACCACATCTGGACACACCAATGACCAAATATTACCTTCTGCTGCTGAATGTGTCAGTACTTCAGAGAAAACACAGACGTCTTCCTGCTCTCTGTTTCTCATGTCTGAATTTGAGTTGGACAAAAAACAAAAAGAAAACAGAATAGTTACTAGTTGTTCAGTCTGAAAACAAACTGAATAATAATTAAACTCACAGATTACTTGGAGCTCATGGGAATGGGTGGATGGATCTAAAAAACATCAGTATCAGTATTATGTTTTTAGATGTTACACTTGTGTTTGAGGTTTTATTTTTCATCGACTCCACACTGCTCCAAATGAAATGTTACACTGACCGTGAGGAGCAGAGGTCGCCTGATCTTCAGCAGATGTCCACTTGGTTTCCTGGGACCTTTGAGTAGATATTATATTGAGCACCATAATACATTGATTAAAGGGTTTGTTATCTGCTTGTTGCCATGGAAACGTCTTTGCTTTGCCTTGAATGGTTCACAGTTGTTCAATTACAGATGTTGTTTCAGCTGGAAAATACCTTGGAAAACCTGTATTCTTAGTGTGTGTGCTCGCCTTGCCACAGATCTAACCTGCAACTTGGTCTATGCAACACCACCTGCTTGTCTCCATGGCGATCAGTAAGTTTAATGCCATACTAAGGAACATCTATACCAAAGTAGACCCTCCTCCAGAAAAGTTTCATGCCCCTTTGAAAATGCACTAAAATCATTCCTAAGTGTGAGGACTTGTACTTTACTGACCTTCCAAAGGTGGTGCAGTAGTGCCACACAATCAGTAACAGAATGAGCAGGACAATCATGCCAGCTACCAGCCTCATCACAGCCAAAACAGGAACACTCTCCTCTCTGGTCACTGATAAGAACAATATTTTACAAACAATAAAACAACAACATTTATTAGTCAAATTTCACCTTGATTTCACCTTGGCCATCTGCCTCGGTTTCACTTTGCTCTACAAATGTGCACGGCACGAAACTTAATGCACATGAATATAAACCATGTTCCAAAGGGTTAGAGCTAGAAACTACAGATAAATATAAGTACCTACATCCTCCTTTAGTGGTTTGAAAATCAGAGATATCCCAGCATTAATTCCAACTTTGTGACTGCCTTGACATGTATTTTTCAGATTTGACTAGAAATTAAGCAAGTTTTTGTGAAAAAAGTATAAACTTCTTTTTTAAGGAGGGGTTTTACCCCACTATGGGGTAACTGCTAACACACATATTATTATTAACACCTTTTATTGTTTTTGCTGCAAAAACAGAGTAATGTGTAAATAAGCTCAAATTATCTACAGAGCACTGCAGTCACATTTATGTGACCAGAAAATTCAAATACTTATGAGATAAGCCAATAATAAAATAAAATAAAAAAAATTGTGTGTGTTTCCATGCCCAACAGAAATGTATCATCAAAAACTCCTGATGACATGTGCCAGTTCATTTGTGGAGTCACTGACATAAGTGTTGTATTTTAAAGTCAGTGTATAATACATTTTAAAATAAGTCTTCATGTAAACATAGCCACAGTCATATTGGACTCACCGGTCACCTGCAGCTTGGTCACCTGGCTCCACTGTGTTTGCTCATATGCTCCTCTGGTCCCTCTGCAGCTGTAGTCTCCACTGTCAGACTCAGACACATTGGAGAGGACATATTCTCTGGCTGTTGTAGGTAACATAACTCCTGTCCTATTCCATTCATAAGTCCACTCTGTGTTTCCTTCATCCTCCACCTCACACCTGAGAGACAGACTCTCTCCAACAAACACCTCTGTCCAGTCAGACTCAGGCTGCACCACTGCTCTGTTTGACACTGTAAAGAACGACAACTGTATGTTTCATCATCAAACTGGAGCTATTATTAACACATGAAAAAGAAGGCAGAGGTCAAAGGTCAAAAGTGTATTTTGTAATCTGAAGTAGTCGTGTCTTTGAAGGCTTTTTAGTCATGACGCCTCGTGGAGCATCACTTAATTGGTGATAGGAGCATGTTCCACAGGCAGGAGACCAGAGGAAGACCTTGGACATGTCTCTCAGGTCTGGGAAAGTCTCACTTACACCGTCTAGTTTGATTTTTAAAGGATTTCTGAACTGTTTACAAACCAAGTCCTCTCACCACTGAGCCACTTCTGCCCCAATATAGTGCAACCAGAGGAGCTCTTCTCTTATGAAACACCTGTGGTCACTGGACACTTTGCTCAACAAATTCTTCTCGATTCATAACCATACGGCACACATGATAATGTATAATGTGCTAGAAATAGTTGCAGTATTTAAAAGGAAGGAACATATTGTTGGTGCTGAGATATACAGTGTAGGAATAATGCACTCACCAGTTTCCCAAATGGTGACAAAGTAACTTTCAGGTGTGAGAATCAGCTCTTCTTTTCCTCTGCAGGAGTACACACCTCCACGATGTACAGAGATAGTGGCTGTATCTTCATTTAAGATCTCAAAGTGAGAAGTATGAGCAGAAGTTCGTCTGATCCATTGATATTTCTGAATCCATTGTGTTTGACATCTCAGCCTCAGCCCACCACACCATGAAGTCTCTGGTTCATCATAAAAACATTACTGAAAGACTCTTGTCACTACAGACCTGTGTATATTGTAAGTCTTTGCCCTGTGTACAGTGTTTCTCCATCGATCCCACAGGAGTACCAGCCCTGGTCTGATTCTGAGTCTCTGAGACAGGCCCATGAAGGCATCTGCAGAGGTCGACCTGCAAATCCATTCAAATGTGTCCAGTTACTGTGATTATATCTGCCATGTCTCACTGTTCATCTCCCCACCACTTTCACTCAAAGGTGGGTGGAGTAACCAAAAACTGTACTCAAGTAAGAGTAACGTTACGTCTAAATCATATTACACAAGTAGAAGTACAAAGTAGTGGTCCAAGAAATTCCACAAGAAGCCTAAAGAGTAAAAAATTTGAAAAACTAGATATAACTAGAGAGAGAAACAACTACTCAATAAGAGTAACTGTCATAACATCTGATTTATAATTTGAAGTTAATGTTCATGCAAAAAAAAAAAAATTCTCATGTAGGAGTAAAAGTATGCAGCTAGAAAAGTACTTTGAAAGTACAATTTTAAAAAAGTACAATTTCTTTAAATATTTTTAAGTTGTATTTGTGTACTACCCACCTCTGTTTCACTTGCAGTCAGTGTGATGTTGTGTTTGGTTTTATGCTGTTCTGAGTTCTCTCTAATTCTGATCCTCGTGACCAAACAAAGTGTCCAGACCATACTACACTATTCCTAATGTAGCCCATTCTATTATTACCAACAACAACAAACTAATGAACAGTGTGTTTTTACTCACCAGTCTCCCAAATGTCGACTGCATTACTTTCTTTAGTGATGATCAACTTATCCTCCCCTCTGCAGGAGTACACTCCTCCACGAGTTACATGGATAATACTTGTGTGCACATTCAGTATTTCAAAGTCAGGGGCATTAAATGAAGAGCGTCTGAGCCACTGAGAGTTTGTAAAGCCCTGTACAGAACATTCCAGAGTCACACTGCCCTGGACTGGAACAGTCCTGCTGGAAGCTTTCAGCGGAATATCACGAAACCTCCCTGCACAGAGACAAGTCATTCACACAACAGGAATCAACAGTTTATATTTTTACATGTTGTTTTATTGATTAATAAAAACAGACTCACAAAGTTTTACACTGTTGGTACTTACTTATAACCCGCAGTGGTATCTGACCATATTTTGTCTTGTCATTTTTCACACATGTGTAACTTCCTTGATCTGTATCAGACACTGAGTTGATGTTGAGCTCCACTGTGGTGTGTGTCCTTGTGATCTGATGAGAGTGATCTTCTGTCACCATTCTGTCATCTTTGTAGAGGTTCATCTGTGTCATGTCTACAGTCGACCCCACACACCGCACAGTCACTGAGTCTCTGAGCCATGGATGGATGGATGGAGCTTCCACAGTCACACCTGTGCACAGACCCATGTACTATTGACTTTGGTATTAGTTACAAATGCATCTCAAGGTTTATTACAGTTTGTTTGAAATGTGCATTCTTTTTACAGCAAGACTCGTTCTACACCAGATCAACTCTCCTTTCCTTCATGAAATGTTCCTCTGTGTTTTGTAAAGTTCATGTTTACAATACCTTCCCAGTTCTGACCATTTCAACTGAAGATTCTTCTATAATTAAATATGATAAAATATTGTACATGTTTTCTTTATTCTATTTCATACGTCCATAATGTAACTTTCTTACTCAAAGTATTTTATTTTATCTATAATTTCTCATCCCCTTTTATTCTTTGGAGTCATTCTGATATCTGTTCTTCTTTTTTTATTACCATGATCATTAAACAATTTTATATTACTGATTTGATTTTCAGGATTTAAAATGACTTTATATTACAGGTTTTGATTTAGATTTCTGAAAATCAATTTGAAGGGTGGAGAATATAGAAAAAATAATATATAAAACGTAAAAATTTATAAATTATAGTTCTAGCTTATTTAGAAAATATGAAAAAAAAAAAAAACAAATGGAAATAAATAAATAAATAGAGGAAGATTATTGATATTGGATAGAAGAATAATATCAACACAATTACTTGTATTCTCCAGGTAATCTTACAGTCTAATGGTCGGTTACTACAGATTTATGTTACTGTTTTTTATTATTTTGAGGCAAACATCTTCAGTTACATTGTTCTTTAATTCATCCCACATTGATTGTCTTAGTTTTCCTAAACCTTTCATTTTAAATGTGATTTGTTCCATTTCTTTAGTCTACTTAATCTGATTTTTTCACTTCTCTATAGTTCAGCTTTTTTGTAGCCAGTGAGTTGTAATTCATTTGAGAGCACTTATTCTTAATATCCTTTGTCAGAGATTTCATTCAGAGTCATTCCAGCAGTATTACAGTTGACTTTATTTTTTCCATGTAGTTTCATTAAACATTTGATTTCATTATATATATTTTCCCAAAGTGATTTTAGAACTGGGCATGACCAGAAGAGAGGAGAGGAGTTCACTGAATCAAAACATGAGTAAAAAAGGAGCATAATGTAGTTACCTTGGGTTGTTTCCCAGAGGACAGCGATGAGATCTGAAATGAGAATAGTAAAGAGTGGACAAAGGCCTGACTCTGGACTTGTATTAAAGTGAATGTACTCACAGGAGCAGAGCAGAGACCAGACCCGAGGAGAGCCCATCCTTAAACCACCACTGATCTGCACAAAGACAAACTCTCACCTACACTCAAGAGAGGAAGGCAAAACCTTTATATTCAAACCTGCAAACCCTGCATTTCCTTCCTTTTCACACTGAAATGCTTTTCAATAGCACTTACATGATGACATAGAGTGCAAAAATAAACATTAGCAGATTGTCCCCATTATATTTGTCCTAATGTCACTAGATTTCAGACACATCAGGAGTAATACAGGGCTCATTGGACAGGACACAGGCTGTGCTCCGAGACACAAACAGGAGGAGAAGTCTCAGTGTGATCTTTACACCATAACATACTGTCCTCTCTGTTCCTCAGTACAGACTCTGCACTGCGTCCACTCCACACTCCATATCTGTGGATGTTCCAGGTGTGTGAAATGTTCTTTGTCACAGTGAGGGACAGAAGGACACTGGACAAACAGTTCTCCATCATGGACACTCCTGTTCACCCACTGCACCAGACTATTGATACAGTGACATCATGCTGAGGGTGTTCTACATGTATCTCTACTGGTAGAATGTGCAGCAGTTACCATGGTGACACAGTGCACAAAGTGCAAACACAGACAAGAAAGATTTCAGATTGTCTGAAAACTGAATGAAAAAATGCACAATGGATGTACCTGGATCAATGATATTTAATCTTATCTTGATCCTTACACTTTTACTCAGCTACACATGTATTGATTTTATCATAGTTAGATTTACTATTAGGCTATTCATTGTTTTAAATCAAAAGTATGGACACGACACACCTTCTCATTCTCATTTATTTACTACTTTCTACATGTTATATGAATACAAAACACATTAAATGTATGATACAAGATCTATGGTATTATGTAGTAAGTAAGTAAGTAAGTCTTTATTTATATAGCGCTTTCACAGACATTTTCTGTCCCCAAAGACGCTTTACAGAGCATTATTCAGCATTATTCATTCAGCATTCATTCACTCTATACCCTGGTGATGGTAAGCTACTATTGTAGCCACAGCTGCCCTGGGGCACACTGACAGAAGCGCGGCTGCCAGAAAAATCAGTAAAGAAAAAAAAGTTTAAGAACTCAACTAAATATTATTTATATTTAAATTCCACAGTTTCCAGCCTTTGCTTTGTTTACAGTGAAGTGTCTCAGATATTCAAGAGGCTTTATTTCACAAGACATTTTACAGTTTACTTTAGCACATGCAGAGAAAAGCTTTTATTAAGAAGTTTACATGTTTTACAAAAGTGTCAGACCACCTTCAATCAGTTCTATATACACAAGTCAAAACACACTGTTGTGCCCCACCAAAGGCCCAAAGTGATGAGGAGATGGCTCCAGTTCCACATGGACAGGTGACTCTTGTGTCTTAATGTCCTGAAAAAGACATGGTGACATTCAACAGGATGACACATAATGTTTGTAACATTTAGGCTGCATTCACACTTGGCACACTTCACATGTGACAGGTTTTTTTTAACAATTCCAAAGTTTGGTGGGATAGTACATGTAGTACATGTAGTACATGTAGTAGTACAATTAAAATCTTCATCAAAATTGTCAAACTAGGGAAAACTGTGTAAGATGATAAGCAAAATGTAACTAACTGAAATCCTAAATATAATTAGACACGGTGCATTGATGAAGTCATTGTGTGTGTCTGACACAGTGACAGTTTCAAAGTGAAACTTGGGTCTTAAAACCAGCGGCTTCAGTTTCCCCAGAAGTGTGATGTAACCTCCACACTGCAGCGTCCACAAGACATAACACACTCTCAAAGCTTTTGGTTTGGACTAAGTTTCTCTGTTCACACAATCAAGTTCAACTGGTGCCTGCTGTGAAGAACACGGCATGCTGGGTAATAAAATTGTGTAGAATCAAGCACATGTACCAAACAAGATTCAAACTCCAGTCCTCAGAGCTCAAGTCCAGTGTCTTAGCAGCTGCCGTGTGCACAGAGAGAAACGCCTTTGACGTAGAAATAAAGCAGCAGATTACCTGCTGACCTGCACAGTTTGGTGACATGTGCTCGTACAAACAGGTGAACCAGTGTCAGCCGTGACTGAGGCAAACTCTGTATTAAGTCTGAGGTGTTGAGGAGCAACAGTGAAAAGGTTAAACAGAAGGAAAGTGTTTTGAAGTGTTAATACTGATGTTGAAAGATTTGAGAAGGTTTTAGGTTAAAACAGCTTCATGCAGAAGTGTAAGTAAGAGGCACATTGGCTTCATCTTGTGGTTAAATGTACAAACTGCAGAAGAGCCAAGAAAGGTTTCCAATAGAGAGAGACAATCACAAATCAGTCACAATATTCAGTTTAAATTCATATTTGAAAAACTATGAGAGTGACACATGAGAAAAATGGATCATCATAGTAGTAGGTGTTGAAAAATGTCCTTCTTTTGTGCCCCCCTATTTTCCTGAGTTACATTAAAAGTGGAGTATGTAGCTTGAACTGTTGGTGGTACAAAGTCACAATAATCCAAACTGTTTCTGTTGTGAGGAGCTCATTCTGCTTTCTGATTGGAACATCATCTTGAACCAGAACACCACATCTGGACACACCAATGACCAAATATTACCTTCTGCTGCTGAATGTGTCAGTACTTCAGAGAAAACACAGACGTCTTCCTGCTCTCTGTTTCTCTTGTCTGAATTTGAGTTGGACAAAAAAAATAAATAAAAATAGACAACACAATAGTTAGTGGTTGTTCATTCTGTAAACAAACTGAATAATAATTAAACTCACAGATTACTTGGAGCTCATGGGAATGGGTGGATGGATCTAAAAAACATCAGTATCAGTATTATGTTTTTAGATGTTACACTTGTGTTTGAGTTTTATTTTTCATCGACTCCACACTGCTCCAAATGAAATGTTACACTGACCGTGAGGAGCAGAGGTCGCCTGATCTTCAGCAGATGTCCACTTGGTTTCCTGGGACCTTGAGTAGATATTATATTGAGCACATAATACATTGATTAAAGGGTTTGTTATCTGCTTGTTGCCATGGAAACATCTTTGCTTTGCTTGAATGGTTCACAGTTGTTCAAGTTACAGATGTTGTTTCAGCTGGAAAATACCTTGGAAAACCTGTATTCTTAGTGTGTGTGCTCGCCTTGCCACAGATCTAACCTGCAACTTGGTCTATGCAACACCACCTGCTTGTCTCCATGGCGATCAGTAAGTTTAATGCCATACTAAGGAACATCTATACCAAAGTAGACCCTCCTCCAGAAAAGTTTCATGCCCCTTTTAAACTGCACTAAAATCATTCCTAAGTGTGAGGACTTGTACTTTACTGACCTTCCAAAGGTGGTGCAGTAGTGCCACACAATCAGTAACAGAATGAGCAGGACAATCATGCCAGCTACCAGCCTCATCACAGCCAAAACAGGAACACTCTCCTCTCTTGTCACTGATAAGAACAATATTTTACAAAAAAACAACAACATTTATTAGTCAAATTTCACCTTGATTTCACCTTGGCCATCTGCCTNATTAATCTAATTAATCTCATTTTAATCTCACCTAAACATTGCTGAGAAAAGCCTTCAAATTTGAGGTATTTTTATTAAATTCTTATTACATTATTGTGCAGATCAAAGACTGATATAGAACAAAAAAAGTGACTTTAATAAAGGTCATTTATTGTTTAACAAATCTCTCCAATTGGCTGTTGAGCCCAAGTCTCCATGAATAAGAAACTGTTTGTTGTAAAGTAGCAAAGACGAAAATCTGAACATAATAACTTTTGTCTACTTAAAGACAATAAAAAGTCCAGTCTTTCCTTAACCTTATTAAAAATATTATTGATAGAGAAATGCTTTATAATATGAGATCACTGGTTTAGTCCTTGTTTTAGTCCTGGTTTAGACCTGCTTTAGTCCTACTTTAGTCCTAGTTTAGTCCTGAATGGATTAATCCTGGTTTTAGTCCTGGGTTGTTCTGTTTAGTCCAGGTTTAGTCCGGGTTTAGACCTGGTTTAGTCCCGGTTTTAGTCCTGGTTTTAGTGCTGGTTTTAGTTCTGGTTTTAGTCCTGGTTTAGTCCTGGACTGGGTTAGTCCTGGTTTAGTCTTGGTGTTATTCTGGTTTAGAGGCGCACAGGAGAAGCGCGGTTTACGCAGCGTACGCGAGAAAAGTACGCGGTGCACGGGAGCACGTCGGTGTCCGCGCCAGTAACTACGGAAGGAAACGTGGTCCGCGCGTTCTCAGGTTAATGACGATGATAGGTGTGTGTTTGTTTGTGTGTGTTTGTGTGCGTGTCCCCTCATGTGGCAGGTCACTATAGGACAGTAGTGCAGACATCATGAGTCTATGCAGGTTGTTTTCACCAGTGAACATTTAAGTTGTAGGCGATTATATTTGTTATTTTCTTTTATATTTCACGTCGGGAGAAGAATTTCCAAGACACGAACGTGTTTTTACCTGTGCACTGCTGCTCTGTTCTACTGGCTCTTCGACCTCGTCCGCTGTGTGACTGACGCCGCCAACGTTAACAAGACGTTTACATCGCTCTTACTGCGCGCGTTTTGTGTGGGTTTCCGGCAATGAGTGGAATTACCGAAATAAAAAAATTTATAAATGTGTTTTTTGTGTGTGTGTGTGTGTGTGTGTTGTTGTCCAAACAACACATAAAAACAGGTTTTATAATAAAGCAACTCGCATACAGAAACAGTAAAGTTAGAGATTAAAAATGAGATTAACGCGATTAAAAAACATAACGCGCTAAATATGACTGTAATTAATTAATCGCAATTAACGCGATAATTTGACACCCCTATTTTTAACAGAGGAAATTTTACACAAGTAAGAGTAACGTCACTTCAAAATAATATTACTCAAGTCAAAGTACAAAGTAGTGGTGCTGGAAATTAATCAAGTAAAAGTAAGTAAGTATTTGGGAAAACTACTACTCAAGTAACAGTAACTTAAAGAGTAACTGTTGGGACGTAACTTTAGATTTATAATTTGAAGTTAATGTAATATGAACAAAAAAATAAATAATGTACAAAACTATAGCCAAACAATTAAAAAAAGCATGAAAGAAACACAAATGTTTGAATCACTTCATTATCAACATAAAACTTTTGTTTCTTGTAGGTTTACACAGCGGGAAGAGAAACCAAAAGTTTTACTCAACTATAGAAGTAAAAGTATGCTGTTAGAAAAGTATTGTGAAAAGTAGACTTTCTTTAAAAAGTATTTAAATGTAATTGAGTACTTTCCACCTGTGAGTATTCAGTTTAATTTGTTTAGTTGAATTTTCTGTCATATTTTAATTTTGTGATGTTAATTAAATGTACTCCTGCTGCTGAACGCGTCCGTACTTCAGAATAAACACAAGTGTCTTCCTGATTCCTTTTTTTCTTCACTGAGATTGACAGAAAAAAAAAAAAAAAACATAAACAAACAGACTAGTTTAACTTTATTTCTAAAAAAAATCATCAAATTAAAACTCACAACTTGTATTCTTAAGTTCAATGTGGGAATAGGTGATCTCTGTACAATAAAAACAAAAAGTGGTTAATGTTTGATATTTTCTGTGCTTTGTGTTTTATTTCTTATGGAAACAACATTGATTTTTTGGGTTACAACCTATAATTCAAAATAAAAATGAAAGTTTATACTGACCCTCAGGAGTTAAAGTGTGTGTCACATGATCTCCAGCAGAGGTCTGATTGGCTGCACGGGACCTGCAAATTATAACTTTTTTAAATATAAAGGCTTCAAATGCACATGACAGGTTAGACTGCTCCATCCATCCATCAATCCATTTTCTTCCGCTTATCCAGGGCCAGGTCACGGGGGCAGCAGTCTGTGTCACCTCAGACACATCCTCCAGCTCCTCGTCCTCCTCGTTCTCAGGCCAGCCAACACACAGTCTCTTCAGTGTGTCCTGGGTCTTCCTCAAGGTCTCCTCCCGGTGGGACATGCCTGGAACACCTCCTGAGGGAGGCACCCAGGAGGCATCCAGAGCAGATGCCCGAGCCACCTCAAATGGCTCCTCTTGACGTAGAGGAGCAGTGGTTCTACTCCGAGGTCCTCCCGTGTGACTGAGCTCTTTTCCCTGTCTCTAAGGGAGCGCCCAGCCACTCTGCAGAGGAAACTCATTTCGACGCTTGTATCTACGATCTCGTCCTTTTGGTCAATACCCAGAGCTCATGACCATAGGTGAGGGGAGGAACAAAGACTAACAGGTAAAATTGAGAGCTTTGCCTTTCGGCTCAACTCCCTCTTCACCACAACGGTCTGATACAGTGACTGCATCACTGCCGATGCTGCACGGATCCACCTGTCAATCTCACGCTCCATCCTCCCCTCACTTGTGAACAAGACCCCGAGATACTTGAACTCCTCCACTTGAGGTAAGGACTCTCCACCCACCCGAGAGGACAAACACTTTTTCCGGTCGAGTTTAGAATGCTCGATTTACTAAAATATTGTTAACATCTTTTTTTTGGTGTACTTTTCTTTTCAACCTTTTTTCCACAAACTGCCACTGTCATGTGCACTTTAAAAACAACATTCAGAATTGTGATAGAGGAATTGTACATCACTGACCTTTCAGAGCACTTATCTGAAAAAAGACAAATAACGTCGCATATTACATCTTTAAATAATATAATGTATATCAAAATAAAGGACTTATTACTCATACCTTTCTTGTTTCTGTAACACCATAGAAGCAGCAGCAGGATTAAAATTAAAATGAACACAAGAGCTACAACCAGCACGATCACAAGAACTGGAGCGCTCCCCTTCACTGACACTGACACAAATATTGAACATTTATCAATCAACAATTATTTTATACAATACATTTATACACATTTTATCTACATTTTACTCACATGTGACAGACAGCCCAACTCTCTGGAGAAGACTGGAGTTTTTTTGCAGAGTCATGAAGCTCACATTTGTATGAACCTTGATCAGACCTGGACACTGCAGAGATGTTGTGTTGTCTAGAAAGTCCTTTTTGGATTAATTGTCCATCTTTATAGAAATGGACAGAGGAGAAAGCAGCAGACTGTCCCAGTTTACAGGTGAGAGAGACGTCATGTCCCTCAGGCACAGGGAGCACCGGGATCAACAGGATCACAGCATCTGTCGAGAACAAATCAAATCAAGCACAAATTCAATAGAAAGATCATCAATACTATCAAGAACAAAGATACAGTCTCTCTTAAAGTCTTAGTCCAGTGAAATTCTGACCAAGATCACCAACCAACTCCACAGAGATTATTCTCTTTAAAGTATATTGTCGTATAGTACATATTGTGCTTGTGTGTGCAGCACAACTATAATCTATGACACCTCTGATTCGTTATCATTATCATTATTACTTTAACATTTTAAATGTAAAATGACTTAAAAAAGAACCGAGTCCCCTGACTTCCAGATTGGGAAATTGCAGAGTTCCTCCTATGGATAGCTTGTAGCAAAATGGCTATGCAATGATTCTGAATCGACGTGTATTACACATTAAGAAAATAAAATTGAGAAACAAAGCAAGTACAGAGCAGTGGGCGTGTACCAGCTGAACTGAAAACAGGGATAGATTGGAGCTATGGCAGGAAAATTAAGATGACTCAAATATGAATCGCATACAACTTTGGAGGGTAAATGATAAGGGGAGACAATATAACATGGTTAAAAGCTCTTAAAAGTCAATTTTGCATAATAGGTCTTCTTTAAAATTTCTTGCATAACCTCTAACCAGGGGTCTCAGACTCGCGGCCCTCGGAAGGATTTTTTGCGGCCCTCCACTTAATTCCAAAGAATAATGTCAGTGCGGCCCGCAGTAGATGTACGCACAATCCCACCCCCCTACCGCGGGCCGCACTGACAGATGAAGCTGCAATCGGTGCCCATGCAGATTCACAACAACAGATTATTAGCGCAGTTTACATCCCAAAACTCAACTTACAGCAGTTGTGAAGCAACGAGTCTAAGTGGATCTGTTAATACAAGTACACGTGCACATACGGCGTCACCGAAGAACCAAAACAAACCACACATGGTGGTACACGTGCACATACGGCGCACTTCACTTTACGCTCCCACAACCACAGTATCAGAGCGCAGAGGAGGCGCTGACAGAATTCCCCTGTTCATAAGTATGGGACCTTTATTGGAGGGGCTAATAAGAAATAAAAAGACATTGACAGTCTGTCTACCTGCTCAACACTCGGTGCGTAACTTGCTGGCAACATGACCAAGCTCCACATATGTGTCGCCGAAATCCACGCGCACTCAGAAGGAAACACAACTGTCCCATCAATATACAAGCACCACAAAACTGCAGTGATATATTCCAGAGGCTTGGCGACATGTTAGCAAAAAGTACGCGGTAAAAACAAGCGTCTTCCATCCATGTTTGACATACGAGAAGCAGATACACTCCAGTGTGGCGCTTTCACACCGGCAAACGAACCAAAACTGGTCCGATTAACGAGCCTCTGTATCCCGGTAGAACAGTGATATCTCCAGTAACCAATACTGATGTTCAGTGTTAATACCGCGGGCCGTCCTCATCTTATCACCATGAACTCATAAAACAGCAACATAGAACTTTGTACAAACTCACCGCATCAGCCCAGAGTTCGGGTAACAGCAGCAGCCAACAGCGTTCACAGTAGCGCACAGCTCCTCAGGACGGGGCTGGGGTGTGGTCCTTGGTCTTCTGTCGTCCTACAAGGCGTTGGTCAGATGGTCCGGAGGCTCTGTCCTCCATGTGCTGGTTCCAGACGGTGGCGAGCAAGACCAGTGCGCAATGACTGGGTCTGAGCGGTTACGTTCCGCCGTCTGCACGCTGGCTCCGTGCGGGGAAAGTGAGAATGCGCTGTGGACTACAGGTCTGTGCTGCTCTGATCCTCTGCGCTCAAGAACCGCGGCTGGTTCCGAGGTGGTGCAAAGCATCCGGACAGAACGTGAATCCAGTTTAGTTGGTGTCCGCATTTGGTTCTTCCCGGGAAAAGCGCTTTTCACTCCCCGCTCCACGTCATCTGAGCCCGGACAGAACCGGAGCTGCTCCTACTGGTTCGGGACTCTGGTTTGGATCTAGTCCGACTGTATTTCTCACACTAGGCTAAAAGCAGGACATTTTTTAAAGGTGAATCAATTGAATGGGCGATTGCCTATTGCCATGAAATTATTTGGTTAATTAAAACCTAAAATAACAAATGCTGGTTCCTACATGATCACAGGGAACACTGGGACCTCTGTGCAGGTCCTGAACAGAAGTACACACCCCCATTTTTGAGTCACTCTGGAGTCACACGTTCATACGTACTTGCTCTGATCTTCGTGTGTTACATTCTCTGTATTGGCCATTGTTGGTAAAATAATTCGAAAATGAATCGCGGCTGCGTCTGAACAACCATCTGTTACTGCGCTGGAGTCGTACAGCGCGTCATTACACGCAAAGGAGTCGCGTTTCTCCCATGATGCATTTCGAATAGTTCGTTTGGACCTGCTGTCTATGGTTTGGACTCGGGTTCGCGTTCACACCAGAGGTGCGGATTCAAGCGAACCGAGACCACCTCTTTTTTGAGGTCTGACGCTTTCACACCAACGCAAACGAACCAAGCTAACCACTTCTGGTTCGAATGGATCATTTGGTGCGCACCAAATACTGTCGGTGTGAAAGCACCTAATACAGGTCAAGGCTCACTGATGAGCATCTTCAATCTATCCTGAGGATCTCATATGCTTCCTCCTGCAAGCCAAATATCTCTCAGCTGTACAAGATGAATCGTAGCCAGGTTTCAACCAGCAAGAAGTAGGCAAAAGAAGAAGAGTAGACGTATTAGTTTAAACTTACGTTCTGAATACATTTTCATATTCTGAACTGTTATTAAAGATTAAGAAAGTGTGTTGCATGTTGTTCTTTCTCTCTCTTTTTTTCCGTGCAACCACTATTTATCGAATACTCAATGAGGCCCAGCCTCACTCAGACTTTATCTAATTTGGCCCCCAGGTGATTTGAGTTTGAAACCCCTGCTCTAAACACTTTTGTGAACCATTTTCCAGATGACTTTTTTTTTTTTTACTTTACCAACTCATGCATAATGGAGGCTGCACTAAATGTGTGATTCACCCCTGATCCTACAAGTAAATACTACGACCTGTCAGTACTGGTGTAGATCATCAACACACTCAACCCCAAAGGACTAACAACACAAGCTTTGGTTATAATTGTCTACTGTTGCTCAGTACAACAGACTTCTGCAGGTGTAGACCTACCATGAACAGTGATGTTGACTGCATCAGACATTTGTCCAGACCCAGACTCACACCAGAACACTGCTCTGGTCTCCTGAGGTGCAGAAAATTCACATGTGTGTTTGTGTTCTGTTGTGTGGGAGTGACACTGCTGTAAGGACAGTGTGGTCAGGGAAAACATCTGGACTGTCCACTCTTCATCTGACGAGTCGGGCCCACAGCTCACTGACACTGAGTCCATGATGAAGTGTTGTGAGCTGTTAGGAACAACATCTGGAGCCACTCTGGAACCACCATCTAACAGAACATGACCATCTTAAATGATTGAGTAAAGTCTAAAATAATCCAGAAGAATCAGAGACAGAAGTGCTACCTGCAGACCAGACAAAGCGCGGTGGACTGTATTCAGTGTAGAAGTGTCTCCCTCGTGCAGCTCGACACACAAAGCCTCTTGTGCTGCTCAGACCATGAACACTGAAGGAGGCATGTGCAGTCCCTGAGGTGTCACCAGTGAGCAGTTCATATGAGTACAGGCCTGATGGAAGAGGAACAGCCCGGTACCAGTAAAACCTCCATCCTGCAGAGGGCGCTGTGACGTCACACTTCAGAGAGACAGAGACACCCGGACTCAACCAGGAGGGAGACGCAGAGATGACAGGGACAGATTTATCTGCATGGTTACAGTACAGTTAAACATATTACTCTTAAAGGAAAATCATGTACAGCTGTGATATCTGACTATATTCTTGTAAATGAATAAAATAAAATAAAATAAAATACAATTAAATAAAATAGAAGTTAAGATTTTATCTTTCATAATCCTTGAAGTAAAAACTATAAGACACACCAGAATAGATGCACTTGCAGTCCGTCTCAGTCTCACTTAAATTATTAAAATAGGAGAAGTAGGCCAGAAATCTTTTTTTTTTATTTTTTTATTTGTTTTATTAAGGGGATATTACACTTCTATGGAGTAACTGCACATACATTTCTACGACCATGTAACATTTGTTTTGAATGGTAAATGGTCACATTTTTATATAGCCCTTTTCCACCTGCAAGGCACTTAAAATACTTTACATCAAGGAACCACTCACCCAATCACACACACTCATACACACAGAAACTAGGACCAAGGTGGGTCTTGCTCAAGGATACAAAGACAGCAATCATCTGTGGGAGCTGGAATCACACTGCCAAACTGTGGGTCAGTGGGTCTGAAAGCTCAAGCAATGATGTTTATATGTCAAGAGCGGGATTCAAATCAACAAACTTAGGATCAGTGGACAAATGCTCTACCAACTGAGCTTCTGTCGACAATGCTGTGTTGAAAATGCTCTGTTTGTTGGAAAAACACTGTGTTAAGTTTCACTTTCGTTTTTTGACTCTCTAAGTCCCCCCTTCCACTGCATGGAGAGTAATGTGTAAATGAGCTCACATTATCCACAGAGAACTGCAGCCACATTTACACAACCAGAAAATTCTAATAATTATGAGATAAGCCAATAATGAAATGTTTTTGTGTGTGTATTTACATGCCAAAAGAAATGTATCATCAAAACCTCCTGATGACATGTGCCAGTTCATTTGTGGAGTCACTGACATAAGTGTTGTATTTTAAAGTCAGTGTATAATACATTTTAAAATAAGTCTTCATGTAAACATAGCCACAGTCATATTGGACTCACCGGTCACCTGCAGCTTGGTCACCTGGCTCCACTGTGTTTGCTCATATGCTCCTCTGGTCCCTCTGCAGCTGTAGTCTCCACTGTCAGACTCAGACACATTGGAGAGGACATATTCTCTGGCTGTTGTAGGTAACATAACTCCTGTCCTATTCCATTTATAAGTCCACTCTGTGTTTCCTTCATCCTCCACCTCACACCTGAGAGACAGACTCTCTCCAACAAACACCTCTGTCCAGTCAGGCTCAGGCTGCACCACTGCTCTGTTTGACACTGTAAAGAACGACAACTGTATGTTTCATCATCAAACTGGAGCTATTATTAACACATGAAAAAGAGGACAGAGGTCAAAGGTTAAAAGTGTATTTTGTAATCTGGATTAGTCGTGTCTTTGAAGGCTTTTTAGTCATGAGGCCTCGTGGAGCATCACTTCATTGCAGTATTCAAAGGGAAGCATTATTTGGAGAACATATTGTTGGTGCTGAGATATACAGTGTAGGAATAATGCACTCACCAGTTTCCCAAATGGTGACAAAGTCACTTTCAGGTGTGAGAATCAGCTCTTGTTTTCCTCTGCAGGAGTACACACCTCCACGATGTACAGAGATAGTGGCTGTATCTTCATTTAAGATCTCAAAGTGAGAAGTATGAGCAGAAGTTCGTCTGATCCATTGATATTTCTGAATCCATTGTATCTGACAGCTCAGCCTCACCCCACCACGCTCTGGGATGAAGAACCTGTCTGTGCTCAGATTAATACTTCTGCCTGTAGAAGGAAAATAAATAGACAAGGTCTTTTGTAAAGTTAAGTGAGTATTTCAAACTTTGTTGGTTCATCATAAAAACATTATTGAAAGATTCTTGACACTACAGACCTGTGTATATTGTAAGACTTTGCCCTGTGTACAGTGTTTCTCCATCGATCCCACAGGAGTACCAGCCCTGGTCTGATTCTGAGTCTCTGAGACAGGCCCATGAAGGCATCTGCAGAGGTCGACCTGCAAATCCATTCAAATGTGTCCAGTTACTGTGATTATATCTGCCATGTCTCACTGTTCATCTCCCCACCACTTTCACTCAAAGGCAGGTGGAGTAACCAAAAACTGCACTCAGGTAAGAGTAATGTTGCTTCAAAATCATATTGCTCCAGTAGAAATGCAAAGTAGTGGTCCAAGCAATTACTCAATTAGGCTAAGAGTGAAAAGGTATTTAGAAAAACTACTACTCACTAAGAGTAATTGTAGGTGCGTAACATCTGATTTATAATTTTAAATTACTGTAATCTGAAGGACTAAAATATAAATAATGCACAAAACCTGGGATTTTCAAAGCATAGACACAAACTAGATGACAAACTAATATCTGATGGAGTAATATGACTTGATGGATGGAACACTAATGTTAAAATTTTTTCATACTTTCATCATAAAGCTTTTGACACTTAGAGGTGACCAAAAGCTTTACTCAAGTAATAGTACTGTTACTCATAATATAGAAAATTAGAAAAGTACTTTGAAAAGAACAATTTTTTTTAAAAGTTAGTAAATGTAACTTCTGTATGTAAATGTATCTGAGTACTACCCAGGTCTGTTTCACTTGCAGTCAGTCTGATGTTGTGTTTGGTTTTATGCTGTTCTGAGTTCTCTCTAATTCTGATCCCCGTGACCAAACAAAGTGTCCAGACCATACTACACTATTCCTAATGTAGCCCATTCTATTATTACCAACAACAACAAACTAATGAACAGTGTGTTTTTACTCACCAGTCTCCAAAATGTCGACAAAGTTACTTTCAGGTGTGAGAATCAGCTCTTCTTTTCCTCTGCAGGAGTACACACCTCCACGATGTACAGAGATAGTGGCTGTATCTTCATTTAAGATCTCAAAGTGAGAAGTATGAGCAGAAGTTCGTCTGATCCATTGATATTTCTGAATCCATTGTATCTGACAGCTCAGCCTCACCCCACCACGCTCTGGGATGAAGAACCTGTCTGTGCTCAGATTAATACTTCTGCCTGTAGAAGGAAAATAAATAGACAAGGTCGTTTGTAAAGTTAAGTGAGTATTTCACACTTTGTTGGTTCATCATAAAAACATTATTGAAAGATTCTTGACACTACAGACCTGTGTATATTGTAAGACTTTGCCCTGTGTACAGTGTTTCTCCATCGATCCCACAGGAGTACCAGCCCTGGTCTGATTCTGAGACTGAGAGGATTATCATCTCCACTGTTGTTTCAGATGTGCGGTTAAACTGATGGTTTGTGTCTGGTTTCATTATGACTCCATCTTTGTAGAAGTGCAGGTGTTTGTTGGAGGGTCCCACACACCGCAGAGTCACTGTGTCTCTGATTCTGGCCCCTGAAGGCATCTGCAGAGGTTGACCTGCAAATCCATTCAAATGTGTCCAGTTACTGTGATTATATCTGCCATGTCTCACTGTAAGAGTAATGTTAATCCACAATAATATTTTCCAGTAGAAGTGCAAAGTAGTGGTTCAAGAAAAAACTCAATTAGGCTAAAAGTAAAAAGATATTTGGAAAAAAAAACACTACTACTCACTAAGAGTAACTGTTGGGGTGTAACATATGATTTATAATTTGAAGTCACTGTAATCTGAATGACTAAACTTTAAATAATGTGCAAAATCTGGCATTTTTAAAGCACAGACACAAATTAAATGACAAACTAATATGTGATGAGTTGTGGTCCAAGAAAAAAAAAAAAGGAGAAAATACTACTTAAGTAAGAGTAACTGTCGTAACATCTGATTTCTAATTTTAAGTTAATATAAATTGAAGGACTAAACTTTAAATAATACACAGAATCTAGTATGGTCAAAGACAGATACAAAAATGAGACAAACTAAATCATATGTGAAGGAGCAGTACAAGAAACACAAATGTTCAGATCATTTCTTATTGTCAACATAAAACTTTTGTCACTTGCAGATTTACTCACAGTGGGAAAAAGAACCACGACTTTTACTCAAGTAAGAGTACTGTTATAATAAAAAATATTACTCAAGGAGCAGTAAAAGTATGCAGCTAGAAAAGTACTTCGAAAAGTATAATTTAGTTTTAAAATATAGTAAATGTAACTGAGTACTACCCACCTCAGTGTGATGTTGTGTTTGGTTTTATGCTGTTCTGAGTTCTCTCTAATTCTGATCCTCGTGACCAAACAAAGTGTCCAGACCATACTACACTATTCCTAATGTAGCCCATTCTATTATTACCAACAACAACAAACTAATGAACAGTGTGTTTTTACTCACCAGTTTCCCAAATGTCGACTGCATCACTTTCTTTAGTGATGATCAACGTATCCTCCCCTCTGCAGGAGTACACTCCTCCACGAGTTACATGGATAATACTTGTGTGCACATTCAGTATTTCAAAGTCAGGGGCATTAAATGAAGAGCGTCTGAGCCACTGAGGGTTTGTAAATCCCTCTACAGAACATTCCAGAGTCACACTGCCCTGGACTGGAACAGTCGTGCTGGAAGCTCTTATCCAAATATAACGAAGCCTCCCTGCACAGAGACAAGTCATTCACACAACAGGAATCAACAGTTTATATTTTTACATGTTGTTTTATTGAATAATAAAAACAGATTCACAAAGTTTTACACTGTTGGTACTTACTTATAACCCGCAGTGTTGTCTGACCATATATTGTCTTGTCATTTTTCACACATGTGTAACTTCCTTGATCTGTATCAGACACTGAGTTGATGTTCAGCTCCACTGTGGTGTGTGTCCTTGTGATCTGATGAGAGTGATCTTCTGTCACCATTCTGTCATCTTTGTAGAGGTTCATCTGTGTCATGTCTACAGTCGACCCCACACACCGCACAGTCACTGAGTCTCTGAGCCATGGATCGATGGATGGAGCTTCCACAGTCACACCTGTGCACAGACCCATGTACTATTGACTTTGGTATTAGTTAGAAATGCATTCTAAGTTTTTTTTTTTTTTTTTTTTTTTTTTTTTTTTTATTAAAACCAATCCTTGACAAATTGTCACACACCAATAATCATCAAGTTATTATTTCAAGCCACATAAAAAGAGACAGCATCAACAAAAACAATCAAATATCCTGTACATTATATTTACACTGCATTTATATCTTCTAAATAAGAGATTACAGATGACCACTTCCTCATGTACATCTTTCTCTTCAGTTTTAGAATTGAAGTCATGTTCTCTATACAGTTCACAGATTTCTGCCTTTGAGTCCATTGTCCCAGTGTTGGGGGATTCAGTTTGATATATAAAATAGATTTGGTCCTTGTACCACACAGTGCAACCTGGTAGATATCAAATGTTGTATTAAAATCCAGAATCTTTGTTATTCTTCCTTTATCACCTTTATCCCAATACACTGTTACCACTAGACGCTATTAAAAATGTAAGAAAACCCACCCATTTATCCACATTGTCACCAGCAGAGGGCACTGACATTCTCATTAGAGCAGGCTAAAATAACTGACATGTCTCTTTCTCCTTTGAGCTTTCCCTGAATCATTAATTACAGTATTAAATTTATTCCAATTCACATTTATTCTTAACGTTTAATGTCCTTTCATCTTGTTCAATACATATGTGTTAGTGTAAAACTGATCTTCAAGTTTTTTCAAGTTCTGCCACGTCTATCCAGCACTGTTCAAAATCTCTTGTTTGAGCTTTTATTTGGTCAAATGTTTCTCAAGATAGTGTTGTATTTGAAAAAATCAGAAAAGGTCATTATCTGGGAAATTAAATTCATGTTGAATCGGGGAGAATGATTTAAGGGTTGTTCCTGAATACCACTGTCTTATCAGTTTTAATAGTCTAAAAGCCCATCTACTGAAGACATCATTTATGCTTGCAAGTAAAAACAATCTGCTATGTGTGTTATTCTTAAAGCTGTCTTATTTTCAAAGGGTTAATAAGGGAAATTTAAACTCTGTCCTAAATTTACCCCATACACCTAAAGTAAATATAACTCATTTATTCATTATTTAAAGTTTTCTTCCGTTGTTTTGTGTCCAAAGATAAAAGGGCTGAACACTGCTCTAACTGTGACCATGTTGTATCAGAACTGCATTTCAAGTTTGATTACACTGTTTGTAATGTACCCTCTTTTGCAGCAACACTCGCGTTACACCAGATCTGACCAGTTCAACCGAAGATTTGCTGAATCAAAACATGAGTTAAAAAAGGCACAAAAAAGGAGTAGTTACCGTGGGTTGTTTCCCAGAGGACAGCGACGAGATCTGAAATGAGAATAGTAAAGAGTGGACAAAGGCCTGACTCTGGACTTGTATTAAAGTGAATGTACTCACAGGAGCAGAGCAGAGACCAGATTCCGAGGAGAGCCCATCCTTAAACCACCACTGATCTGCACAAAGACAAACTCTTGGCTACAGTCAAAAGAGGAAGTTCTAACTTTTACATTCAAAACTTGTCTGCATTTCCTTCCTTTTCACAACTTACGGCACACTTCACTCACTTTTTTTTTTTTTTTTTTACGCTTTCGACACTTTGATTGCAGCAGTCAGATTATAGAGTGCAATCAGGCCCACATTTTTCAGACACATCAAAACGAATACAGTTGTTTAACCTTTTATAAGTACACTAATCTGGCCATATATTTTTGAGTGTACAAAAAACTCCAGCTGTTGTCACTGTCCGCTTAACCAGTGGTTTACTGAGTTGGGCAGCACTGTGATTTTGGGCTGAATGATGAAGTTCGCAGAGGGAAGTGCTTTGTTCATTTGAGTACAGCTTTTCTCAACTGGATTTAACAAGTTTGATTTCTCATTTTGTTACACTGTTGTGGCGCTTCAACCAATCAGCTTTGAATTTTGCTGTTATAAATATACTGTGGCAGTTCTGCATAATGATGAACTTCTGCCTTTTTGCTACTGAATGTTCCAGTGGATAGGACCTGATAGGTTTGCTTGTTTGGATGAGCAAAAACGCACACAGGACCAAATATAAGAACACACACACACACCTATTGACAAAATCACATAGGACATTGACTTGGTGGAACAATCCTGGGGGAACCATCTGCTCCTGAATGTGGTTACAAACAAGGAATATGTGATAGACAGTGCACTTAATTAACATGATTTAAGTTCTTACTAAAAATATTTGTTCCATTTTTTTCATTCTGATAAAGTTTATAATTTTTCTTCCTTGTTTGGACACAAGCAGCAGATACAATATAAGCCTGTGTAAAGATAATACCATATTTTTTTACTTTTTATTATGTTAAATTAAGGTTTAAACTGCTTTTCTTGTGTTTTGTTCCTGCATTTTGGATGGAATTTTCTGTGCTGATGACACCTGGTCTCTGCAGTGGCGGGCCTTGCATTTCACACCTGGGCCTTCAGCAGTGCTCCATCTGAAACAACCCACTCCTCAAGAACTATTTTATGGTTATAAAAGCATCTTATTACACAGAAATGCAGTATAAAGTGCTGTGGAGATTCCATGCAGAGCGGGGGTGCGCAGACAAGAAGGGAGGAGAGGGGGGTGCACAGAGAAGAGTGAGGGTGTGCGGAGATTCCCTGCAACGACCGTAGCGAGGATTTACATGGTTCGGAGGGACGTAGTCAAGGCGGGGGCCACTTGTGGGACCAGGACTAAACCAGGACTAAACCAAAACTAAACTAGGTCTAAGTGTCCGGCACCGCATGGGGCTCAGTGCAGCCATCGCCCGATCACGCTTCGCGGACACCCTGCTCCACGGACTCAGGGTTCTCTCTCTCTCCTGGTTTAGACCGGGTTTAGTCCTGGTTCCGTTGCAGGTGCAGTTTGCTGCTTTGGGTGGTTTGCTCTTTGATTGTCCAGTCTGTACTTTCACCGCTTATTACTATCTTATTGAGAAGTCATCGTCGCTAAAGTGACTGTGAGCTGCTGTGAGCTAACCACTCGGTACAAGGAGCTTACAGTGGATCGCTACCGGACAGAACAACGAAGAACAGTACCCATACAGTACTCTGAGTGCCCGCGACGCTCAGAGTCCCTCTGGCAACGTGGGATACGGGGACGAGACGTTTGGAGCGGGTGTGGACCACGCACCTGGGTCGCTGTTGGAGACACGCTGTAGTCGGGGCGCCGAGCCTGGTTATCGGAGGAGACGAGGAGCCACAGAACTGGACCGGACGATTCGGGTGGGATTAACACGTTTATCGAGGTACCCTGCTTTTATTTTGCGTTTTGCTCTTTGAGTGAAGTGACCCGGAGTTTTTGGTCACACCGTACCCGAGCATCGATACAGGTCTGCAACGTAGGGTGTATTTAGATGCCGGCATTAGGACTAGTAAATGAACAATGGAGTTGTTGTACATTTTTGTGAAGCTTGAAAACGTTTAAACGTGCATTTTTATTTTATTTTTCTTTATTAAAGGGAGGATTATTTTCCATCTACTTAGTCTCTTGTGTTAATTTGGTACCCCATAGACCAGGCATGTGCAAACTATGGCCCGGGGGCCAAATGCGGCCCTCAGACTTCCAGGTGAATTAGCCCACTTTGCATCAATAAAAAAAAATAAAAAAATTACTGCAAGTTTTTTCAAAAATCGACCTTGATAAAGCTACTATTTAATATTTAGTGTGTGGTTTTAAGGATCTTGGCATGAATAAAGACTGATGGCTCATTCTAACGTGTTAAACATGCACACATTTCAATTATTCCCTGTACTGAGCATCAGTCTACGGTCCTTGATCGGCCCTCTGCTTCATCTGTGTTTAGATATGTGGCCCTTGATGAAAAAAGTTTGGACACCCCTGCCATAGACTATCTGCTTTTGGTCATTTCCTAGTGTCTAGTATTAAAGGTGCTGTACTGCTATCCCAAAATATTAGAAGTAGTTTAGGTTTAGTATGAGAGTACACTGTAAAAGAACCCAGAGCCCACTCAAGTAATTCATGAGTATATAAGGGCTACACTTACACTTTTACTCACCTACACATGTATTTATTTTATCAAAGTTAATAGTAAATATTAGGCTATTCTTTGTTTTACATCGCACTGTACAACCACCAGTCAAAAGTGTGGACATGACACACCTTCGCATTCAATGTTTTATTTATTTATTTATTTACTACTTTTTACATTTTATATGAATATAAAACACATCAAATACATGATGCAAGATATATGGTATTATGTAACAAAGAAAAATAACTCAACATAGTATTATTTATATTTTATATTTAAATTCTACAGTTTCCAGCCTTTGCTTTGTTTACAGTGAAGTGTCTCAGATATTCAAGAGACTTTATTTCACAAGACATTTTACAGTTTACTTTAGCACATGCAGAGAAAAGCTTTTATTAAGAAGTTTACATGTTTTACAAAAGTGTCAGACCACCTTCAATCAGTTCTATATACACAAGTCAAAACACACTGTTGTGCCCCACCAAAGGCCCAAAGTGATGAGGAGATGGCTCCAGTTCCACATGGACAGGTGACTCTTGTGTCTTAATGTCCTGAAAAAGACATGGTGACATTCAACAGGATGACACATAATGTTTGTAACATTTAGGCTGCATTCACACTTGGCACACTTCACATGTGACAGGTTTTTATGTTTTTTCAACAATTCCAAAGTTTGGTGGGATAGTACATGTAGTACATGTAGTACATGTAGTAGTACAATTAAAATCTTCATCAAAATTGTCAAACTAGGGAAAACTGTGTAAGATGCAGTGTTGTGCATGAACGAGTTCAAAAGAACGCGTTCATTGAACACGTTCATTTTTCAGTGAACTTTGAACTGAACGCAACACTTTTGTAAATCAAGAACTTGAACGTGAATTTGTTCAAATTATGTGTGATGAACGACGTACGTCACTGTTGGGGTTCAGTTAAACGTCGGAATTTGACGAGTGACGATCTGCTCGCACTTCAGCTCGCGAAACCACAG